GTATGGGAATGTTATTACTATGACAGTCTAAGGCATCGACTAATTAGGATGGCTGTGCCTGAACCTGATCACGTAAGGTACCATTCTAGTAGAAAATACCAAACATAGATTACAAGTCCAAAATTAGAAAATTAATTTCTATCATAGAAAAAGCGATTTTTTTTTCTATCACCTTTTTAAGGTTTTCATCGGATATAGTATGAATTATCAATTGATGGTACTCGCTTAATTTAAATGTCTGACGAATGCAACTGTATCCTGTTTCTCATTTCCATGGTGTATTCAAACTTTTAACATGAAAATTATTTATTTTATCTAATTAGGTCTTTTTTTTTCTTTCTGAAAGTTAGAGAAACCCTAAAAAACACACACACACAAAAGGAACATCTACATAATAGTTTACTTTTCTGTATTTGTCTATTACAAAATATTTATATAACAGTAATAAGAACTCGTTTTTCAATACTTCGATTCACAGCTTTATAAGGACTTACCATTTGTTCAGTTGGACCACCTTTAGCTGCAGACATAGCTTGGAATCTGTGTGGAATATAGAGCCGGATTGAAGGGTTGGCAGATGGATGCAATTGGCCTGGTCCTTCCGGATCGAAGCCCCCCGACTAAAAGAATAATCAAAAATGGGATATCTCATTTAAAAACATATGTTAGAAACTGCTGTGACATCAGCAATTGTAGTCGTTGCGTACAAACGTGTTATATTTTATAATATAACACGTTCTTTCATAAATATTTGCTTAGTTATTTAACAAAAACATTCGTTATAATAATATTTACTGCAAAAACTCGTCACCAGGAACGTCGAGAGCCAGCACGGGCCCCGGGGCAAACATCCTCGTCGGGCCCCCTTTCTCTCTCTCTCTTTTTTAACATTTTCAAGAATTTATTAAAAAGAAGATCCTAAATTAGAACAGCAACGAGCTCATAAACCAGACAAAATCATAGTAGCAGCCGTTTTTACCTCACAGTATAAGCGTCAAAACGTTAATAAAGTAACAACAAATATCTATTAAATCTATAACGTAACAAATACATATTAATTATTACTCAAATTATTATTTCAGTCGTTCTTAATGTATCAAGCATCTATATGCAAAGAAAAGCCAAAAACTATGGTTTTTATCACTAAATGAAGATATAGCCTAAAGATGCTTTGCGGGCTTTACGGCATAACCAGGTTTTATTCGCCCGGGCCCTTGAGCAGTTGCCCACCCCACCCCACTGTCGGCTGGCCTGCACGTCACTATGTTATAAATATTATAATTTTGTATACTACCTGACCACCGCTTGTGTTTGTGTGATGCTCAAACTGTAGTTATTAAATAGTATTGACTTGTATATGAAGTTCAGTTCTGAGCCCTGTTGGCATAAACTTTACAAAATGCCAAAAAAACGTATTTTATTGGATTTTAGCTAGTTTGTTAAGGGTTGCATTTGGTTCACAAATGTTAGCAGAGAATTTCGATTGCCGATTTTGACATCAGTTGACGCACAGTCTGACACAGTTTTGAATTTGTTCAAGAGTATTTTCCTTCAGTTAGCCACCAGTGGATAGCTGCCATCTGTATATACCAATTTGACTTTTACTATTGAGAGGGAATGATAATAGATGTCATTGAACAGTTGAACAAACATAAAGCATAATATTGTAATCAGCATGATCCCGCTTCCAAACCAATATGTTTCAAATTTACTGTGATATTACTACCTCTCGGCCATATTCCTTGGTTAATACTCATTAAAAATCAACCCAGTTAGCGTCTTTGGGATTAACTTGTACTATCCAGTCGCAACTGTAATCTTTGCTGACATCCTTCAACTAATTGCAGATCATATCTCCAGTGGTAAAAGTACCAGATGTAGGGCCTTTTCTTGTTGTGGTTTAAAATATAATGAGTGTTGTTGTTGTTTCGATAAATGTTAATGTTTCGTGGACATCTAGATCGGGATCTGGAAGAGTCATGTTCATTAAAGACCTCTCTCTCCATACTTTGCTGATGTTATAATTCCTTGTGAAGAAATTTCAGCCATTTGATTGACTGCTAAATATTACATGTGAGGGTTACATATTTCTTAACAGTCTTATTAAATACAATAAGTTCTGTAAAGACTATGCCCATTCATATGCCACGTGTAGCGTTTTTATTACTATATACTTTTCCTAGTTTGGAGTGTTTAGTCCTACATATTTCGGACTGTTCTATAAGTCACAACACATTCACTTGTTTAGTGTATCATGAGAGTATTGTACATATAATACCCTCTTTTAATATTCTACCCAAATTATATAGGACTTAGAAGTCTAGCACTAGGTGGCTTATTGCTATATTTACTGTAGATATTAAATTGGGACATAGTTTCATCATGTATGATATAGCAGTCTAAAGAACATAGTAAATCTTCTTGTTGAAATTTTTCTGAAACTAGTTGATCGAACTGTCTAAATTTGTGTACTTATGTAGAAAGACTATACTTGTGTTGTTGTTTTTTGGTACATTGTATGGTGATATATGGACTGAGTTTTGTATTGTTTGTAATTTATGTTTCACATGTGTAGATGAGATGTTTACCCATTATGGACAGGCGTATTCAACTACCGGTCATGTGTATTGTTTGTAGGTTTTTATGGTGTTCTGTCATATTGTTTCTGGGTTATTTCCTAACAGACACCTAGCATAGTTCGCTCATTGCCAAATTTTATTTCTGCTTTGCTTGATATGAGGTTGCCAGGTTAATATCGAGTCATATGTGATGCTTAAAAATTTTGCTGATGTAGCAGTCTGGAATAGAGTTCCATGTAAAGGCATCTCTGGTGGGTGTCTCTGTGCCTTAATTGATTTTGAGAATAGGATTACATGTGTTTGCGGAATAATTATTTTAATTTATACTTTTTACAATATTCGACTATCATAGAGTTAGTATACTCTATATGTAGGAATGGCCAAGGTACTCGATAGGCATTATACAAATATGCACACTAAAAATTAACAATGATTTTAAAAGATGATTGCCACTCTCTTGCATTTGTTTCTCTACCTAACAAGCCAAAAAACCAGGCAAGAAACCATCACTAAGACAACAAACCAGAAAGTGACCAACCCAACAAATTTTTCATCTTTCTTCTCCTTGTTTCAGTCGAGATAGCTCTACAGCTACTTTATCACTAATGTGAGTTTAAACCTAAATCCACTCTATGTGTTTGTGGGCAGTGCATGATGTCATCGCTTAGCCGTAATAACCTATAAATTTGATTCCCATTGTCTGCTTATCTTTGAAATTAAACCCGTGTTTTCTTTCAACATACTGAATCGATTCGTCAACATCCATTTTGTGAACACTAATGCCAGAAATCAACACTGGATGCACACAATCTATAGTTCTTCCATGGTTTTTATTGGTAGTGAGATAAAGTAGGCTAAATTATTCAAGATATGGTATATAATGACTGGATTATTCTAGTTAACAACCTGTGGAACGTGAATAATTAGGGTCTGACTTATTCATCTTTTACATATTTATTAATTAGCAAACACATATACTCAATAATAAATGAATATCCTTGTGACAGTGATACAAACTAAGCATCTGTGGACCTTACTTCTGATTGATTGGATGATGACTGGATTCTGTCCTGTTCTTTGGACTGTGACATTAGATTTGCAGAATTCACATGTTTGACTAAATCTTGATGTCATCGCAGTACAGAAGCACCAAGAATGTTTTATGGAACTTAGTTGAAGATTTCTTGCTTCTAATAAAGTTCTCTTTATTAGTTCTACATTTTCTTTAATATTGCTATTCATCACATTCCTGGCAGTATGAAATTGACATTATTTTATAAGTTTAGTTTGAATGTTCCTGTAATAGATTGTACAGTTTAATCCAGGACCAAAATATATTGTGGAGCAGTAAATATGACCTTAGGAAGCACAGTAAGATTTGTACAGTCATTCATACTGATGCTTCCTCAAAATTTAAGTGAACACCAAACAGCATATATAAATATGAAATAGAGCTACTTTATTTACAGGATGGGTAGCATGTTCAAAATATATATGATTCCCAGTTTTCCCTGAAGAAGAAAGGTCCACCTTTTGAAAGTGCTTGGGTTATAGGGTTTTTATCATGTATGGAGAAAGAGAGATGCATTAAAACCTTCCCAAATCAATTAATCCTTTAACATTGCCTCAGAATCATTAGTTCATGATAGAGAAAAACCATTTCTTCTGGGAGGCTTTTCTCTCCCCACACAACCCCTTATAAAAAGGTCTGTGTTATCTTTTTTTTTTATCAAAGTATCTTATGAAATATCATGTATTTCTTACACTTCAGCGAATCTTATCTGAATTATTAGACTCCATTCTTTACATCCTGCTTTCTCTCACATATTATGGAATTTACACAGGAACTGTACACCTATATTTAACTTACGCTACTAAATTTTTATATATATTTGTTGTATATGTTATTCATAAAACCCTTAATTGTTCAATTTTCCCAGGTCACTGCAAAATCTAAAAAAAAATTGTTAGCATGAAATAATTTGTGAGAGTAAGCTGTTTTGTTTCAGCTGTAAAAACATGTATTATGAGTGTTATTTTATGTCCATTAACATGCATGTAAACATGTGAAAGTGAAAGATATATAATATTTCTTGATGAACAAGATTAAATAGTTTACTCACTATAAATATCTTGACATTAACAATACAGTAAAGTATAATCTCAAATGAATAGTGAACTGTTAAGAATGTATAGTTGTTTGAAGCCTATTTCATTGTACCATTTAATGAAATTATGCTATTTCTACTATAAAAACTAAAGAAAAGGACTCGCCTAGGAATCTGAAGTAAAACCTCTTACTTGTTTAACATTATATAAATAATGTCAGTGATTGTATTTTGCTTCTCCTTTTTTTCTTTTGTTGAAAAATATTAACAATTATTCGGATAAAAATCTTAAGATTAATTTCCTTATTTTCAGAGTTAAATTTGGTGTCCTGTTGGACCAAGTTTGTAAAGATGATATTCCTGGTCCACTTTTGGTGAGTAGAATTGCTCTTATTAAATTCAGGAGCTTTAATTATTAATATAATCAAGTGTGCAAAATTCTCCATTTGTTAACACTTACGACATGATATATTTACATTAGCTTTAATGTTTGTCTATAAGCGACATACTACAAAAATATTATACTTGAAAAATGTATTGTTACGTCTCTAGTCATCATTTAATTTTCCGTAAAAATTTCTTTCCGATCAAACTTTAGCGACACAAGTCCTTTCTTAAATAAAACTGGTTTATTCTTTCTGAATACAACTTTGCTATACACTTAATTTCCACAGCGGCGATATAAAAAACACTATAATTCACAACAAACGTCTCACGTGCTCGACTCAACTGTCAATTACACATTGGTGCCGTCACGTCTTGACCGTTTTATATGTATAAGAATACCGAATTTAGTAACCTCTCGAGGTTTCATGAACGTTCTAGAAGTGCATGACGTGTTACTAGCGTCATGTGACCTCCGCTGTCATAACACTGCCCCTTCCTTAGTATTGTTCGGGACAAACAATAGCCACTTACAATAAACAATTAACAATAACTTAATTAAATGTACAGAATTTACAAACACAAAATTACAATTCAACAAGGTCTCTTAATTTTACGGGACGTATCTTCTTCCCTACTGGTCTCCGTCTCGTTAAGCAGACTTCATGTGGGGTTCATTTGCTTCATCAGGAAATGTCCTATCATCGGTAACAGTCACATCAGTGGTAGTAACTTCATCAAGGGCTTCACTGTTTCCCTTCTCAAAACTGAGTAGAGTTTCTTTCTCGACAGTGGCTTTTTCAGGTGAAACGTCTTCAGCAGCATCATTTGTTCTGTTGTTCACTTCGTCCCAACTGAAATGTCCTGGACTGTGATAACGCCAAAGCCTGTTGGCATACACCACCTTTGGCTTACCTCGCCAACCACATTTTATCCGGAAAGTCACGTCTGAGAGACGATCCACTATGTCATATGGGCTTTCCCATGGAGAAGACAACTTAGGATATTTCCCTTTGGTCTTCCTGGGATTATAGAACCACACCTTGTCTCCTGGTACAAAACTGACTTCAGTAGATCTCTTATCATACGATAACTTCATCGAATCAGCAGACGTTTTCAAGTTTGAATGCACTTGATGATGAATATCATCCATCATTTCCGATAACACTTTCACAAACTCTGACACATTTTCAGGCAACTCTTCATAAGGTGGGCATCCTATTAACAGATCCACTGGCAACCGAAGTTCCCGACCAAACATCAACTTTGCTGGAGTGTATCCAGTGGCTTCATGCTCTGCTGTCCTATAGGCCATCAACAGTGGAGGGAGTAAAACATCCCAGTCATCTTGGCTTCAGCTTGATGGCACCTGGTTAGTTCAACCTCTCTCTCTTTTGCAGCAATGTCTGCAGTCATTTTTGTAGGATCTTCGGTTCTGTCCATCGGCATTATCATGAGATTTTCTCTCTATATATTCAATATCATAATTATACTGGTA